GAATTTTATCGCGCTATTCATGCAAGGGAAATATATCTATGTTTGATATGGAATCGCCGTATAAGGATGCTAAAAGGTGCGAAAAAACCATGACACCGATTGTGTGTTTCAACAGTCTTGTCCATTGCTTTATGCTTACACACCATACATACGTGTAATGAATATCAGTGTCTCAGGTTTGCATGAGACATCATAAGGGCTATCTGTTCAGCACAGAGTATTAATTAATTGGAAGTAGAAATTCTCGACTAGTAAAAGTTTAACACACTTGTGTCCTTGAGGAAATTATAGTGTCTCATTATTCTCCCTATCAACGTAAAGGGTAACACCTACACAATCCTCAGCAAAGAAATATTTATTCCTTAACAATACATTAATAGACCGAGGTTAATGAAAACTGTTCACAAAAACACCCCCTTTAGTACATTTATGCCCGTAACTCTTGAGCCCTGATCATGGTGCTTTTGTCAAATGTTGCAGCGTTTTTAAACTGGTGATAGTAATGGGGGGGGGGGTGTATTTTTGTAAGCGGTATTGATTATCCTCGGGCTGTTAATATATCCACCTCTCAAAACCGGAGTTCACTTTAAGTGGAGATATGGTATCTTATCAACCCCTTTTATTGGATCACTTTTTGATTCGTGTCAGAGCTTGTAAACGCAAAACAATGTACCGTTTGTGTTACATGAGATTTTTACTCACAGGAGCACCGCATGTTATACGAAAACACTGAAGCTGTACGAGATGTATCAAATGGTTTGATGATACGGGTACATCATTTACCCCTTCACTAATCATCCTAGGGTACAGCATACGATTGGCACATCGTCTCAGTTACAAACTAAGTTTGACAACATCAGTATGTGTAGAAAATAATTTTTTTAACATTCGCTGACCTCAGCATATTCCGATGCTATTTGATCTGACCCTCCTATAGCAGTACGACTAAAGCTTGTGCGTCAAGGTTAAAGGACTACGGATCGTGGCTAAAGTAGTTCGGGTTTTGACTAAAGGATTGTGGTTCAAGGTTAAAGCATGGCAGGGGTTGGCTAAAACATTACGGGCCGAGGCTATAGGACTGCGGGTTTTGACTGAAGCTTAGTGGGAAAAGGTGTAGATGTGGAGGAGCTGACTTGGACTTCCGTCTGTATCTGCTATAAGCTATTAGGGAGTAAACCACTGATAAAAGAGTTCGCAACCGCTCATCACCAGGAACGGCTAAAGAAATTAAAGAACCAAAATGTTACTTTTTTGAGACCACATACAGGCGCTGGTGTGGACCTTTTAGATAGATCAGGCTATATCAACAAGGTAAACAGCAAACTCAGCGACATCAGAAAATTTCAGAAAATAGCTAGGGAGAAAGATCAAACAGAACAAATAAAAATTTCAATGTCTCTGGCGGCCTGCATGCTTATCCAAGACATCGACGTAGGCCCGAAAATCTTTTTTTGCTTCAGGTTTTAATCGGATACCACTCGTCTCAATTTAAATCCTTCGCTTTTACTCAAGTTTGGTCATATCTTCGGGTCACCCGATAGTACTCGGATGGACCTGCTTCATAAAACATTGCACCTAAAATTGTCTTCCCCCTTTTCAGATCCGTGAGCCTAGGTAATATCATGTCAAGGGCATAGAATTTTTCATCACCAATGTGTGATATTCATCAACTGATACTGTCCCTCCATCGTTTCCCCCAGGGTTGGCTGCAGGAACCCTAAAATACTGCGTTGTGGTTCAGCTAGGATAACGGAAAGGTGTTCTGATCTCCTAAAACTTACCAACTTATCGAACATTTTCACAATTCATGATTGCTGGTGGCTTCCGTGATCACTAGTCCAAGAACGACCACGGTTGTATTCCCATGATGAACCTGAATCGAAAAATGCGACAATGGCAATAATATTGTTCGAAGACAGTTTGCACTTATTACTTGTGAATATTATACGTTAACCATTATTCACCCGGTTTACTTTGTGGTGTATGTGTTAAAGACTATATGATTTCAGCGATAACGATTATCGAATTCAGAGCCCATACACAGAAAGGTGCATTTTGGAAACATTCCAGCTTTTAAACTTGCATTTTATTGTAAAATTCCGTAACGGTTATGAAAATTATGGCATTCTTCGACAGCCCTCGTTAGTTTATTTCTATTGCAGTTGATTTGATAGAGATATCTCATTCCCTCCCAAATATATGTCCAAAATGGTTATTTTCATTGTCCATTTATTGAAGGTCCTTCTTCTGTGGTGGTGTCCCAGAAATGGATCATGATCTGAGTGCTAAACAAACTGGATGTGAATCTGGTCAACACCGATGCGTATATCGATCGAGCATGATCTATTGGTGTCCCAGTGCAGCCCCTTGAGGTGCAGCTAATCAATTCTATTGCAGCATCATTCGATGGAGGTAAGCGATGGCTCAAGCGCTGATCGCTCATGGTTCACTGGTATCAGCGGAGGGAGACAAACACACACAGAGACGTACACGTCCTAGCAAGATCAACAACCGATATGTACGTCATGGGAATTGAGGCGTGTGTGACCGAAGCCCGTCTTACAATCGACCCCGCGCTTCAACGGGAGGTAGAGAAATCGGTTCTGCATGGTGGTCATTCAGACATCACTGGGAGGCTTTTCAGCACCGGTGAGGTTCACGCGACAGCTTGAAATGATGCGAGGACATATTGAAATGATACCCGGACATCTTGATATCATATTGAAACAACTTGAATTGCAAAAGGTATAGACGATCTACTAAGTCGTCTATCAGTCGGAAGGACCAAACGAGCCACCCACAGGAATAATCGGTATGTTGAGCAGAAAAGAATCCTGACTAAGTGCGTCGCTACCGGGGCGCGTAGAATATGTACGGATGAAACCTTTGCTACAGAATAGAAGGTTTATTCGAGACGTTTTCCTTCGATCAGATACCCAGAGCGATTTGTGGACATTAATTTGGGGCATCCACCGATTGCCAAATAAGATCACTACTAAAGAGAAGAAACCGGTACATCAGTCGGGATGGTTGAATAGTAGTAGTGATAAAGACTACCAACAGCTCGATCGTTCCACACCTAGTAGAGTCAAAGCACGTGTTCACCGTGGCCGAAGCGTTTCGACTTAGTTCGCAGCCGTCGATCTAAGAGGATTCCGAGTAGCATTTTGGTCACAGCAGAAGCGATCGGAATTCGCCTCCAGAATTCCCCCTCCTATGCCCCCAAAACAATTCGTAAAATCACTCGATGTTCCACGCCCAACACCAAACAAGATACAGCCATCCCTCATCGACCCCTAACGATCCCAAACAATGCGCATATGTGAGGACCAAAGTGTGAGCTAAATGCTGTCATGGAACTGGAATTCTGATTATTTGTTTCCCGATCTGTCATGATTATTGCCCTTCCCTTTACCCTCTACCAAACAGTTTGATATAATTCGAAATTATTCTCAATTGAGTAGTCATGATAACATAAGTTAGCAAAAAAACTCGTTTTCGGTGCTACATCAACTGGTTAAATACAGCACCCTTTGTAATAGATTATACAGGCGGTGAGAGGAGACATCTCTTTTTAGACTCTGATTTCTTTGGCCAATATATGTCTCCGCTCACCACCTAATCTATTATAAATTTTGCTATATTCAGCCAGTTGATGTAGCACCAAAAACGAGCTTGTTTGATAACTAGTGTTCTGAGTTTGGTATTATTGTGATGCATTAACATCTAGAAGAATCACCTCAAACCAGCTTGTTCGGTATTGTCTTTTCCTTGTAGTGAGACCCAACCAGGTCGAAACAGCTGGATTTTCAGTTCCCGCTTCATGTACTCTATACACGACGAATATCTAACTTGAAAATGATAAATCAGATACACCTAAAAAGATGCATTTATTTCTCTATTCCTCAAAGAAACTGACGCATTGCAAGGATGATAAATGTTCAGATATGTCATACACGATACTGCTGAGCAGAAGCGCCTTGGGTTAAATCCATTTGTTCCTAGGGTGTAATTGCAGTGACCTGGGTGGATGCACGAGGAATAAAAACCATATCAAAGTTTTCGGCTTCTTTTGTAGTAGAACTTATGATTATTCACCAGTCAATAACAAACATAATATCCAAAAATATTTTGCAGGTCAAGATAAATCAGTTGACCAAAGCGGACCAAAATATCATTCGCTGCATCAGGCTCTCTTCTTGATTAACACTTCTAATCAAATTAGTTACCGTACACTTTCGGAGAAAAGCTTGTTTATTAGTGCTTGCTTTTGTTCTAACTACGGAATTACTCACTTTTAATGATACCCCCAACATAAATCATGCATTGTAAAACAACTGTTTCTTTCCAACGTAACATTTTACCAACGGCAATGTGACGTGGCACAACAATCTTGCTTGGCAATGTTGTTTGATTTGTGAATTCCTCGTTTAATTTTGTTCATTCATTTTATCGTCGCGTAAAGTGTGCAAACCCGCGTGTTTCTGTATTTGTGTGTATGCGTGTATGGGCACAAAAGATTAAAGTAAACTATGATGTAACCACAGCTAAATTCATAGGAGCGTGTTGATGTGTGTAATGATGAAGATGATGCCACGAATTGCTCATGTCGATGGACAGTTTCACTGCTTTCATATTTGCACATGCAACCAAGCCGTTTGCACCGTTGATTCATTTTTTTAAAAATATTACTTATAGCCTTGTTTTTAGCACCGTACTCTCAACGATCGTCTCCGCATCGAACACAGCAAATGATCGTCGTCGCCCACCGTAACGTAACCCATCCGAAATAAGATGCGGTAATGGTGGTCTAGATTCCTCTGACGGAGTCCAAGTTAGTGGTTTGTTGGTCGATGGATTTTCATTCTGAGGTTGCGCAGCATGATGTGATCGATAGTTTTTGAAGTACCATTCGATGCCAAGGGCAAATGCGCTGAACAACGCGCCGGCTACCAGCGGGACGAAACCGCCACCGATCTGATTCATATCCAGAGCACTGTAATCTGGATGATTGTTGTTACAAACTTCCAACTGAGGCAACCATTTGTCGAATAGACGCTGAATGATTCCGGTGTCAGCCAAAGACTGAAGGCTACACACAAAAAAACAAGCAGAAAACTTTACATTACATGGGAAATCTTTGAGCTTTTCAGAAAAAATGCAAAACGTTTTATCGAACTACTATATAATTATCGGAAAGCTCCGGTTGATAGCTAATAGGCATGGCCTCAGAGTTTCTCAAGCTCTAATGACCCGTGTGTGATGAGATTCATGCGCTTGAAATTTCTCGTTGTCATATTTGTCAAGCACTAAATGCTTCTGCTGCGGTTTTCGGAACACCTTTCTATTTGATAACATGAATAATCGATGATAGACCTTTGCATGATTATGAATACTCATCCCTGTAACTTTTAGTAGAGCAGCATGATTTGGGTGCATTGTATTCGTACTCGTTGTTGGTCTCAATATTTGTGTAATTGGCAAAAAACTATCGGTGGTTTTGGCCTCGAAGGCTATCATGAGTACCAGGTGCATCAAGATTTTAGAGATCTTGTATGATTAACTGCGTGCTGCCCGCACTTCATTTATCCGCTAAACAGTATTCCGAGAAGGCCGTTGTTAGCTGTTCCACCCCGAATTCTGCCGCTGTCATATTCATGAAAAGTGCTCCGATTACACGGAAATTTAGGACTCGTCACTTACCAAATTAATAAAATTTTATGTAACATGAGCTATTCTGGACTCAAATATACACATCCAAATATCACTTGCCAGAAAGGTAGGCGATTTGATCATTCTAGCGTTATTGATACTGTAGGATCCAATCGTGTCCCGCGTGCACCGGTACACACTTTCGATGGACGTTCTCGTAGTTCGAAACCTGAACACCACCGTTGAGGAACCTTTTGCGTACTGTTATGCTCCTTAGACCGTTTTTAGTCCTTGGTATAGCATTTCCGGCTCCATCTCAGTTGTGTTTTCCGCAAACCTCTATTATCTGGAATGGACGTTACTCTCATTAACAATTCCTCTTCTCACAATTTTATTGTTTTTCAATAGAGAGAGCATAGAAGGAATTGTACCTAACTATTCTATATAAATTCCGTCTTGTATTGGCTTTGAGTATGAGGTCACTCCCTCATAAACGTATTTATGTTTTGTCCTGAAGAAAGTCCTAAACAACGTCCTTAAACGGACATGTTTCGCTTTCAAGTAAAAGCACACATGATATTTGATAACGCTCAAGTGAACCTCGACCAACTGTCCATTTGGTCGGAAATGACGAATTTTCAATTGCAAAACAGACGGACCGCGGGGAGAGGAATAGATTGTGGGTAAAACACTCTAGTTCACGTAAGGATCCCCAAACGGACACGAATGCATTTTGACCACAATTTACGCAATCGGATCACCAACCTACCGGACTTAAATAATCACGTATGCGGTTCGTTTGACATCACTCATGACGGCGGAGGCCATCCGATTGTGAAAGTGCCTAAACTCTTCGATGTTAATTGTATACGGCTCTGGTTATCATTCTTAAACTTTCCCAATCCTCCGAAAATCGACTGAAACGAATATGACAATCGCTGAAACTAAGTTATGTCGAGGTTTCGTGTTCTGTTTGAATTTTTATTGTCGTAATGATTACGAGTGGTGTCGTCATGATCACAATGGAACTAACAGATTTGCGAACACATTCTCTCATGCGCACAATGAAGAACCTAGTATGTGGGTGATCTCATTTTGTGAACCACATTGGACTAATTTTGTATACTCATGTATTTTAACGTAACTGAAATATATTAAAGTGCTTTTGTAAAGACTAAGAAAAAGTAGTGGAAATCTGTTCCACCCTGGAGGGAGGGACTCATGGGCGGTATCTTACACCGGACCCCTAACCTTTTCGCTACAAGGTCGAAAACCAAACATTTTGCGTGGTGAAGTCGACTAACGTTGTTCTGGTTTTCATTCTAAACACATTTACACACGGGGTTCAGTAATTGGTGTTCACAAAGCATATCATTTAAAATGAATTATAAGGCAGGAAATAAAGAGACCCATAATAGAAACACAATGCACTCCGTAAAGTGACATCAATTAGAAACACTGACATAGTTTGGAAGTATTTCTCCAATTTCAAGTGAGTAATGGAGGATTTGATTCAATTTTAAAGGTAAATCCGTCGTGTATTATAGCAACTGAAGCGTGAACTGAAAAGCTAGGAAGCACTGGGAAGCTGTTTTGAATCGGGTTCGATCCCCAGTTGGGTCGATGGATTCGCACTGCTGATGAGATCCATCCAGGTAGAAACAGCTGTCCAGTGCTTTCTAGCTTTTCAGTTCACATTTCATTCGCTATATACAAGACGAATTCACCTTTGATGTTTCTCCAATTGCCACAACCTTTCGGTCACAAAATCTTGCGTGGAACGCTCGGATTACATGATCTATTGGTTGAATTCCGCGTCATTGATTTTAGGTATGCTGTCAGCAGCAAACCGGAATGCTGTGTTTCCATTCAATTTCGTCGGAGGCATACCTACAATACATTTGGTTGAATACCGAGGATTTAACTGCCGTAATTGGAAAATTTGAAGCCAACTAGTAATAAAATAAATCCTACGATGGTTATCTACGTCGTTTTTTAGAGTATCAAGCTTGCATTAGCTCATTCGATCGTTCAGAGGCACCAGGCACTCTTGATGGTCTTCGGCGGTTCGAGTCCTGACCTGGACACAGAAAGTACGCACTACTGTCGAGTTCCAAACAGGACGAAACAGCTGTCCAGTGCTTTTTGTTGTTTATCACAAACATTTTCATCGCATTATCTATGGCTGTTCTAATCTAAGCAGCTACATCCACAGCTCCTTTGTGCGTTTATGATTTCACGTAATTAACACGGTCTCTATTACGAATTCCATATCTCGCCTCACTCGAGCGCTGGTACATTCTGCTGTATAAGGGAGACTTATGCAACTCCACGGACCATCACACCAAATGAGGAATTCTTCCAAATTATATGTGACACACTTTTTATATTTCTGCTAATTGTTGATACTTTGTTCCTACTCCCCTTAATTCGCCTAATATGCACAGTTGAAATTCTCTAACAAGGATGAAATAGTCCTTCTGGGATTTTGATGATATGAATACAGTGACTTTGTGTAATAAATGCGCAGTTGAATTTCGGAAAGACTAATAACCTCGAATAGATTGGAACGCAACCCAACTTTTGTGAGATAACTAAACAAATCAATAATATGAGCACAGGTGATTGTCTCTCAAACAACTGCGTGAGCAACCTAATATGAACAAAGCCATTTCACGAAGCAAAAACAGTTCCTGAAAATAATGGATCTGCACATACACCGTTGGTTGTGCATTGCGTTAGTGATTCACATTTGCTTGACATCTTCATTTTATTCGCGACGTTGTTCACCTTTCATTTTTGATTTTCAGTATCATCTATAATGTAGCACTCTGTTGGGAACAATGAGAAAGGAAGTGAACCGAGTTGGTTGTGGGATAAAAAGTTGACGTTGAT